ACTGAGCTCATAAATCAACTGAGAGGTCGACTCATTTCTGCATAAGGCTGCATGGTATCAGTTTTTACTGTAGCCAATGGAGCTGCACCCTGCTGGTCATTACACAGAATCCCTTTTTATTATTTCTGCCCCCTGCCCCTTAAGTCTGCCACTTTTTCCCACAAAACATCACAATAGAAAATGCTGCAGCTTTATCCTCACTTATGTAGCATCATGTCATTTCTCCATGTTCTACCTGATCCAGAGTCCAAGGGGAAACCTGCTCAGACAGTGGCTGGATGAAGACAGCGTCCTTGGGGTTGTGTCCAAAGAGTTTCAGCTGTCTGACAATCCACCTCTGGGTGAATGGACCATCGTCACTACAGTCGATGTAAGTCTGTTACATGGCACCCAGTCCTCTAAGTGTACCTTACTAGGCTTTCATAAGGACTGTACAAACCAATCTCAGAATTTCTTAGATACAAACGTGGATGAACTAAATGTGTTTACAGGATAATATTCATTACAAGGTGTCAGTTCAATTTACTTGTCCTATTGCCGGATTCTTTCACTTCCTTTTTTTTACAAAATTAAAGTGTAAGTACACACCTCAATTCTGCGATTCCCCAACCTTCTCTGAGCAGCTGGAGGACAGCTGAGAGAAACCCAGAAAACATTTTATCCATAAAATATGATCCAGTTTCACCAAAATCACTGACATAGTTGGTGGGTAAATGGTGCAAGTGGGAGTGACAGAGGCCCCTGTCACCTCATTACAACTCAGGGTAACATCAAAATTATTTTGAAGGTAGACAAGTTACATAATGTTGTTTTAAATCAAAAGGTTTTATTGTTTTGTCTGTTTTTCAGAGTGTTTCGAGTGAGAAGCATTTTAATGTGGCTCATTATGGTATGTACATTTTCTCTGACCTATATAATGAAATCTGGATGATGTGTCATTACAATCTTTGTCATATATGTAAACATCCTCTGAAATAATAACATCTTCCAGCACTTGTGTCACTGAACTTTAATATCCATTCATTGTGTCTGTGGTTGCAGTGCTTCCAAAGTTTGAAGTGGTGATAAATGTTCCGGATGTAATTTATCATGAGGACACTCTGTGGGGCTCCGTCACAGCAAAGTGAGGACCTTTGTTTCACTTTGAATTCTTTAATTTACATGTTTGTTAATTAATAATCTTGCTTGTGAATAAAATTTGAGGATTATTTCAGATTATTGTGTTTTCACCCTTAGGTACTTGTACGGCAAACCTGTTCAGGGACACATGAATATAACGTTCTTGCATCATTTTCATGGTATTGAAGATGCTTATGATGAAGATAGCGAGGTGTGTCATTATATTTAAACGTATACAATATTTAATAAACTTCACAATATTTGGGGTGTTTTGGACTGTTGGTCAGCTAAAATAAGGAATTTGAAGACATCACATTGCCATCTTGTAAATGCAGATGGACATGTAGCATTATTTTTATTTTATTTTTTTTTGGTGAATGAATAACCTTAATGACATCACTGTTGCTTTGGTTTAGATTGACGGCACTGCAGATTTTCAGTTTGAAGTTCCTGACTACCACCCAATGAGCAAAAGAGCTTTAGAAATGGTTTCCTATGACGAATTTGATGATTTTCTAACGATTGTGGTTCATGTGACTGAAGACCTCACAGGTAATCCTGCACTTATTTATGGGACTATGTATTGATAAATAAGTCTTATTCCAGTACATTGTTTCACTGGGAAGGATGTATAGATGACAATCAAAACTCATAAACAATTGTATTTCAAAATAGTCAGCGAGGACACTGAGGTCAGTAATGTTTCTGGGAATTTAGGGAGATTTTAGGATTTTTTTATGATGTGGATATTTTACAGGTTGATTCCAGTACTGTTTACCTTAGATATATTTATATAAAATGTTCTGTATTTTAAAATTACATTTGAACTGTAATTGTATCCTTGTCGATGTGAACAAAGCTAGGATTCAACGTTTAAGGCCTGGTCACGCCTCTTGGATGACCCTATGGTAGATAAAACATAATATATTATAAATTGTCCTCTACAGTGCTGTTCCAATAGACAAAATGGATGAAAAAGTGCCCTCTAGGGTACTAATCTTACCCCTGTCTAAGTTGTGCCACTGTTCCTGCAAATGCAGTCAAGTTAGGTTCAATTGTATATACATAATTACAATTCTTACTTAAACAGCTGCAAGAAAAAGCAGGCTTCATAGTCAATATAAACATTTGTATGTACATATAATCGGCCTCAGTAAGAGATATTGTTTTTTTAAATTTGGTCAAGTAGTGTGCTCTTTCCAGGTGATTCCATACGCGCAGTAAAGTCACTGCAGCAAATATTATCAATATGTAAGCAGAAAAACCAAAAACTAGTCATGACAGTACAGAGGAAACAGATGATTTTGAGGCCTGGAGTTGTTCTATATGTGCAGTTTATTTATTTATAAAATATTACTGATGTTGCACGATCTTTAATTAATTGTGGATACTTCTTCTCATCTTTCAGGCCTCACATATAAGAGTACAGCAAAGGTGTCTTTGGCAAAGTTCAGATATAAAGTTTCCTTCGACTGCTATCCCAAAATATTAAGGCCCTCTCTGAATTTTACTGCCAGGGTAAGGAAAATATATCTTTTGTAGAATTTAAATCTAATTTGTTTACTTCTACTTTCTCCATTTCCTTTTCTTATTACAGACAGTTTACTAATTTAGTAAAATTATTTTAGTTGTGTTGGTACAATGGGGGCAAATTAGCTATTTGCTCACCTAGGCACATTTATTAATGTTTTCACAATGCAAATGTTGATGTATGTGCACTATTATAATGAGTGACACTTTCATTCACTTTTTGCCAGCCTGTTGATGACACCTTTTAATAATAACTAGTCAAGGTGTTACTTTCACATTCATGATTTTACACATACATCTGAAGACAAGAGCCTCTTACTGCACATTGTGAAATGTTCACAATAGATTTTACACATGGCTCTATATTTCTAAGGATTCAATTTAAAAAGCATATTGTTAATAGCTTTCTTGGTTTTACAGCTGAAAATATCTACATACAATAATAAGCCACTGTCACAAGATGATCCGCTAAGGACTGCTCAAGTGTCAGTGATGCAGCGAAAGCAAAGTCCGTGGAGTTGGAAAATGGACGGGGAGGAACAAATGGTGCCTCATCGATCAAACATGTCGGGCCCTTCGGCAAATGTGCGTCCCTATCCAGAAGAGATACCACCTGAAGATATGGAGTTTCCTGTTCCTGCAGATGGAATAATACCCCTCAACATCCAGCTCATGAATGAAACTGAAACACTCACAATTGATGTAAGATGACATTTTTATCACCTTAAAACATGCCCTTTATCCTGACTGCAGACTCAGTCTAACAATGTATTGAGTCTTCACAGTAAAAAGAACAAAATTAATGTGTTTTTGTCAGTAACACCAAAAAGTTTTGTTTATCTACAACAAAACTCCACAGGGCACCTTCAAGTTAGAACATATAACTGTAACACCAGGTAATCAATATTACAGGACTCAGGACAGAGTGCGTCAGAGCGTGATGGTAAATTTGAATTATTAGAGGACCTGAACCTCATCGCGGTAGGAAAAAGATGTTTTTCTAACACAAAGATGTTAATGTTAGCGTTCATGTTAAAGTCCACGGACGAACTGTGACTTTTAAGTCTGCTGCAGATGCCAAAAAGATTATCTAGCAGCAGGAGAGAACAAAGACTGTTCCACAACTTTATCTAGTTATTGTTTGTTTGTCTGTTTTTAGGCTTCTTTTGAGGACAGCCACAACACTCTACAACTCTATAGAAGCTACACATCCCCCAGTCACTCCTACCTACAGATTCAGAAACCCCCTGGACCTTTGAAGGTAATATGATATAATATGAGGAACATGAGGAATTTCAGATTAAAGTCTGGTAGCATCATGGAAAATACTGTTGGTCAAACAGGATGTACATTTATTTCATGATGTACTTACACTATTAAATACAAACACTACAAACAAATAATTATTGATGTTTTATCACAACCTTCTCTTCCTTCAGGTTGGTTCACCTCTCCAGCTGCACATTGAAAGCAATTTCCCAATGACTGAGATTCACTACATAGTGAGTATCACATTGTAACAACTGATTTACATTTTATGGAATTTATCAGGGCATTCATTTAAAACAACTTAGTGTAACTATAGAATAAACTTGAATTTCTCACATTGATCTATAAAATAAAACAATAAAATACAAATATAATCCAAACAATTATTTATTTTATCTTTGCACTACTATTTGTTTCTAAGATTTTACTCTTGCAGTTTTTTGTGTTTTCTGCAGCACTTTAACTTAATCTTTAGTGGTACAGAGCTAAAATTCTATAGCAATAAAGTTTGTCATGTACAACTTTATAAAGTCATAATCCTGTCAACTTTTTTGGATTATGTCTGCCCCCTAGTGGCCAAAAAAATCTATGAATTTATTTTAGAGTAGAAAATCTAAAAGAATTAAGAACAAACATCTGTTTACTCTGTGTGAAGGTGAAGTCCAGAGGTCTGGTGGTTTCTGCAGGGAAAAGCTCTGATGTTCTAGCTTTGGTCCCAAAAATCACCTGGGCTCCTATGGCCTGCATCATCATCTACTGCGTGCATCCCGATGGAGAAATTGTCAACGACGTGATTCAGCTACCCATCACCCAAACTTCACAAAACCAGGTGATTTTTTTTTTTTACATTTTTTCTGAATTAAAGACGACTGTGAAGTAGAGCGGGATCATGGTAATCTTCATTGTTAAACAACCACCATTGCTCCCGTATGCATAATATGTTTCTATCTGATAATTTACTATCTGATAAATTACATTAGTTAGGCACTAGTGGTGTACACTGGTATAACTGTGTATGTTATGATGGTATATGACTGACTGGCCTGTGATTGGTAGGTGTCTCTGAGCTGGAGCAACACTAAGAGGAAGCCAGCCGACCAGGTCACACTGAAGGTCGCAGTGGCGGAGCCCGCCTCTCTGGTCGGGATCCTGGTGGTCGACAAGGCAACGCAGTGGGCGGGATCACACAATGACCTCAACAAGGAGATGGTTAGAAAAAACATCAGAGCATCAGAAAAAACTCACATCCCGAGCTTTACTAAATGAAATACAGCCTCACAGAGCTCCTGGCAGGCTGTAGACTCTTAGTTTTTCAATGTGAGCACCACAAAAAAGATATTTAAAAACCTGCACATATACACCAAAACTAACTTCATGCATGGGCGCCTAGTTATCTAGTCTGAGGAGTCTAAGATTAATGACAGGCAGAAATATGGTAGGAACATTTTCACACCTGAAAGTGCCATTTCCTGCAATAGAGCTCAGTTTAAAGCCTATTGCCCTGTTATATATTAAAACAATTGTTTTTCATTGTGTTCTTTACTTTCAGCTGTGAGTAACAGTTTTGAATTCATCAGAGTCATTCATAACACCATCAAACATCACATCATTTTTAATAAATGAATGGGCTGCAACTCCTTTGCTTGCTCCATTGTTTAGGTGCCTTTGTCTGCATGGATAGATATCACTAAAAGCAAGTGACCCAGTTTAGTCTTTTGTACTATTGTGTGAACTGACCCTTTTAATCCTGAGCTATTATATTTGCTATTATGGGATTCAGACATAACTTGTTAACTGAGTGTATTATTTGTTTGTTCTTACTAAACCCCGCAAGTGAAGCAGCTCGCTGTGACTTCAGGCTGACCCCTGAAATCTTAAAGCCTTGAGTCACTGGTTTCCTGTTTTGTAAAGACAGTTGTTTGTCTTATAACTTTCTTTGTCGTTTACAACAGATCATTCTGTACACGATGAATACCAGAAGCTCCCCAGGGTCGTGTCCAATTTAATATTTTTCAACAGAAAGAGTTGTCTGGCTATATGTCCACCGCCCTTACACCCATATTTCTCCGGGTATAACGTCCCCTGCAAGTACTGTGAAACCCAATCTGCAGCCCCCCACCCCAGTATCAGTTCAGTGTGAACTGAGGCACCATGAACTGTTTTATCCCAGCTTGGTCAAACAGGTTTTAAACAATAAGTGTTCTTTTTGTGTTATGGTCTGTTTTGTTGGTCTTTGTGGGCTGCAACAGTAGCGACTTTGAGGATGTTGGTTTTGCTTTCACAGGTGCTGAAGGAAATGGGGGAGTACGACGTTTCCATGGACAACGCCTACATGTCTGACATGTTGAGGAAGGGAGATCCGTACTCTGTCTTCAAGGTTAGCGTCCCCAGAGAAACATCACATGTTTGTTCTCTCACTACAGTATTGTGTTGACTCCTGTTTACTCAGGAAGGACAGTCTCCAATGCTTGTTCAGGATTACTGTTCTTGATTATATTTAATTATAATTACTCTTGTATACATTCTCTGCCATACATTGTCACTGATACAAAGAAACATTTGTTATTTCTTTGTAGACATGATTAAGAAACTACGATGGCTAACAAGTCTTCTAAATCAAACAAAATACATATAAGGACATCGATTTGTCAGCACCTTCCAAAACAGTGACAAATATACCATACTAAAATTAAAATTATTTTCTGATCTAACACCATGATGGTAGGCACACGTTCAGTGAAAGATGGTCACGATTAAAAGAAACCAACGCTAATTCTTGGTAGAAAACTGGAAGCGACCAGTGTTCTTCAACGACAAGAAAGAAACAATCAAGTGCTACTAGTACTACTACTTAACAGTATACTACTTAACTACTACTTCACTACTTCACAGCTCAGCAGTAGTTATGACTGGGCTGGGTATAACTCTTGATGCTTTCGTAGTACAGACCAAAATGTGTCCACAGGATTGAGATTTAAAACTGTCCAGTGTCAGAAGTTACCTGGTCAGTATTGTTTACATATTCTTTGTTTAAACAGAACTTAGCAATTTTTAAAGTATTTTATTTGGGCTTGTATTTAGACATTAAACACTAATGTTTTGATTGTTTGGCATATTTAAGGTATATATATATAAAAGTATAAAAGGTATTTTAGATAAACATTGTTCTCAAACTAACGGTAATACTGAAAAGAGTATTGTTCTGTCATATTCAGGTATCGTATTAGCACATTTTACATCTGACAATAAAAACCCAGTTTGGGTTTTTCATCAAGAAAAGCCTTCAGTGTTTTTCTTTGCTCTTCTTTCAATAAAGAAATACTCTCCAGCTCTGATATAACTGATGCTAGCTAAGCTCTTTAGGAGCCACCATTGCTGTTTTTGAACAAATAGTGACCTCTCACTGTGTCACACCTAGTGTTAAACCAGTTCCTCAGAGGACGCTGATTCATCCAAACAATGATGGTTTGGAAACAAGCACATAGCTTGAAGCCTGGCAAGATGGATTCTTAAAATTCAGTGAGGGAATTCATTGAATGATGTGGTGGCAGAGGAAATCAACAGCAGACACAAGATATTCCAGCAAAAAGACTTTTATTAAATGTAATAAAAGCCGAGTTAATTCTGCAGAAAAAACAGAACATTTAGTAGAACGGTTATTTTTGTACAGTACTAATACATCACCAATCCTTAATCCTCTGTCCTGACAATGGTGAGATATATCTAGTTTTCTGGAACATAACAGGACACATTAACTTGTTTCTGACAGCCACAGTTTTGAGCCGCATACTCAGATGTCACAGTGTTCTTTGGCCGGTACATGCAGACATTATGCAACGCTGTTGTGCAAAAGGACACAGAGTTTAACTATAGAAGCCTTCCAATCATTGTGTCACTAGTCCTTCATGAGCTTTCCATCCAAATGTGTATTTTCATGTGTGTTTCTTTGTGCAGACCTGTGATCTTGTAGCGTTGACTGATGCCAGTTTACACATGATGGAACAGCCACTGAATCCCATATTTCGTAAGTTTTAAAAATCAACCTTGATCAAAAGTTTGCCTTTCACAGTCACATTTTCTTATGCTAATATAACTGACACTCATGTTCTAAACAGCAGGGGAGGGAATACATCTCTTTTCTGACCTAGACAGTCCCCAGGAGTGGGAGCAAGAACAGGAGCCACGAGAGCGCTGGAACTTTCCAGAGACCTGGATATGGATGGATACCAACACAGGGTAAAGCTTCAGAAACATAACATTGTAGAATACCTAAAACGTTATTTCCTAGCGCTGATTAAAACACATGTCTATCCAAAAGAAAAGACTGTAATGTACATATAATGTAAATAAAGTATTTCTTATTCTGATTCTGATATATCTAATGTATGGCTAATATATTCTGTTTTTGATGCAATAAACAAAGGTGTTAGGTAAATACAGTGCATTATTTCATATCTTTTTTTTAATCTTTTTTTTCTGCAGGAGTTCAAACTCAGCAGACATAACTCTGACTGTCCCAGACAGCATCACAACCTGGACAGCCACCGCCTTCGTCATATCTGAGAACCTGGGCCTGGGCATCATAGAGAGTCCTGTAGAGGTATCTACAATCCTTTGATGCCTCCCTGGAAAAAAGGCTAAATAATACTAAGAACACCTTGAGGAACCTTCTTAGACATATTTTTTTTTCTGTTTTTGTATTGATGACCTGATGAGACAGTATAAAGTTTCCATGTGATCTTCCTGCAGCTCACAGTGTTCCAGGATTTCTTCCTGTCCGTGAATCTGCCGGCCTACGTCATCCGAGGAGAGGAGCTGCTGCTGGAAGTCGTTCTGTTTAACTACCTCACACAGGGCCTGGAGGTCAGTCTGCGTCTCCTCACATTTTTTATAGATTCTTTTATAGATAGAATTGTGTTTTCATTGTATTGCATATAAAATTGATATAAAAAAAATGGAAAAAATCAATCAAAATAAAAAAAAATAGAATCTTGTAGGGTGGGTTATATTATATTTTTTATATCATGACACTGAGCTTGGAGTGAGGGGGATGGAGGGCTCCCGGTCCGGCAGTTCAAAATCCCTGTATAGGTGGAACATGTTACTGAATGTTAAGTACTGTGATTGGATGTTTCTTACTAATAAATGGGAGCCGTAGCTGACTTCTGTCTTTCAGTTGTTATGTAAGCAACTCGTATCTTCAACTTTTTTTTCTAATACAGTTACTCATCTTCTGTAGTAATCCGAAGTCCAACCAAGTCTCTGACTGTCAGTTGCAATCTGCAACTTCACTGCTAGATGGCATTAAATCCTATAAACTTCTGATCTGAATTGGGGGTCTAAGGACAGAAGATTACATATACTGTAGATTATAAAGCCCATTGAGGCAAATTTGGGATTTGCCCCTGGGCCAGCAGTTACTGATAAATAGGAGTCATAACTGACTTTAGTCCTTCAGTTTTCATGCAGTTACTCATTTACTGTAGTGATCAACCAAGTCTTCAAGTGCTCCAGCTGTCGGCCTCCTAGAAATTGAACAGAACTTTTGCTTCCACGACCACTTTGCCAGCCACCTATATATTACTATAGTGATGAGTTATCACGCCGGAAAAAAGTACATAAAAACTTCTCCTTAAGCACTTGGATAGCTAATTGGTTGCAATCTGCGACTCTGAAGGGGACTTTGAAGGGGTTTTGGGGGAAGCTTTTCCTGATCTATATCGAGGACAGAAGATGACATATATTGTACAGATTGTGAAGCTCATTGATTTGTGATATTGGGCTTAACAAATAAAACCTGACTGACTTTGTTATAAAATACACAAAAACTGTTGAACTACAGCTTCAACTCCAGTGTCTTGAAAATCATGGTGTACGTCACAGGAATAAATAATGTTGATGTTGATGTCTGACAGTGGGATACATGTCACTGTGTACCAACAGTAGAATACAGCAGGTGTTGGATTACAAGTGCTGAATGTGGTTCACAGGTTCGCTGGGTGTTTTAGGCATCAGGTTGCCAAAATCTAATGTGTCATCAGTGGATTTAACACCTCATACATATAATCACTCAACACATAAAAGCTGCATAAAAGAGCTCATTGAACCCTTAGAGAGCCATTGTTCTTGCAGTTACGACAATATCCTTGTTGTGTGTCCTCCCACAATCTTTGTATTGTCTGACCTCTGTTTAATGTGATCTGGGTGGATTCTTTCTGTCTTTGTTAGGTCATGGTTGTTGTTGCACAAAGTGACACCTACGAGTTTGTCTACCCGGACAATGATGAGATCCCCATGCCCAGTGTTCGACGTGTGTCTGTGGGGAGTCAAAGCGGAGCGTCCATCCTCTTTCCCATTAGGCCGGTGGTCCTCGGAGAAATCCCCATCTCTGTGAAAGCCATGTCGTCTGCGGCGTCTGACCGCATCCTCAGGACGGTGCTCGTCAAGGTGCTGTGAGAAAAACGGGACTGGGGAGGTTTAGATAATGAGGTTGCAATGGAAGACTAGACAAATAAGAGGAATTTATGAACATCTGAGTCAGGGTTAGGGATAATAGGGTTAGGGTTAGATTTTTTAATACACAGAAATAAACATACAGATAAGAACAAGGACGAAACTTAACTTAAACTCGGGGCTAATAAATTACATGGTATTGGAATGGTGCACAGGTGTGTACTAGCTGATGCCCGATCCCACATTTTAGGCAGTATCGGAAGAACTCTACAATTCTTCAGTAAATATGATTGAAGTTTTTCTTTTTTAAGTTATAAAATTTTGTTTGTTTTGTTTTTCCCAAGATGTTAATCATATTGTGGGGGTGGTGCTGATCAGAGGTTTCTGACTGAAAGTTAAAGAGGAGTCAGACGTTCAGCATCTTGCTTAACAAAACATCAGTGAGAGTTGAACCTGTCAGATTGTGTTTATTAGAGCATCTGTCAACCTGCTGCAGCTCCAAAACAAACACAGTGTCTCAGACAGGAAACTCTTCTAATCTAGCCGACCTTCATCTTCTATTCCAAAAAAGTGTTGATCTTGTTTTACATCTCTGCCTTTCCCAGAATTATTACTCACTAGGTTTGTTTGTGTGTTGTGTGTTCATATTTCTGCAGGCCGAAGGACTCGAGCAGTCGTTCTCCGCCTCGCTGCTGTTTGAGGTTTCTCCCTCACGGCCAAGCCTTTCCAGAGATGTGATGTTCACCTTCCCGGCAGATGTTGTGGAGGGCAGCGAGAGGGTTTCGGTGACAGCTGTCGGTATGTAAATGCACCGAACACAACAGTCACAACCTGCTGTGAAACAAAACAAGATCACCTGGTCTGGGCTGATTCCTTGTGAAACAACCAAACATCATTGATTCCTAATAGGATTAACTGTGTGTTCAATAAACACAACACATAATCAGTGTTGCTTGGTCTGGTACATGCCCTATTTTTTCATCTCAATTAAATATATCAAACATTTAAATTGTGCACATACAATATGACTTTAATTTAGATTTTGGCCTGATTATAATATAATAATAATAATTCACTTCATATTTTTAGAGTTACAAGGTGCTCCACAAAATACAAACATACAATATGTCCAAAGATAGCATATTATACCCAAAATAACCCATAAAATGAAATTAAATAGAAATTTCAACAAACCTAAAATGAAAAAATACAAAAAAAACAACATGTCGGCATTATGAAATATCATACAAATACCACATATTATGAATATATGTTTTCATTCGTGTTTAATCACCTTAAAATAAGAATCATTGCGTGTAGCCGTCCATGGAGTCCGCTATGTTGAACCGCCATGTTTCTACAGTAGCCCACAATGGACAAACCAAACACTGCCTCTAAAACAGGGCCTTTTGTTTTATGAGTTTCGCAGCCACCGTAGATTCTCATTAGCTGGTGAAGTAATTCGGCAATGTAACGTTAGCCAACTTACACTTGAGATAGTATTTTTCTAGCGATAACGTTAGCGTGCAGGCAAGGTAAGTTTACTTGGAGGACAATTATTTCCCAGTTTCTCTCAGTTACACTCCATTTGTTTCTGCAGTTTTTCTGCCAAATTGATCGAGAGAGATAGATTTAATTTACTGTCTTGATGTGGTTTTGTTTCATTACAAAATTGCAACACAAACCCGCAGTGTGTCTCACATATGGACTCTATGTTTCAAACATTGGACTCGAGTGTTCTAGAAAACATGGATTAAAATAACCAGAGGTAGTTTCTTCATGTTTTTGAGTCCCTTGAACACATATGTTCAAACAGCAAACTGTGTAGGAAGTTAAACTGTTGCTTTTCCATGTAACAAAGTGCAGACGCAACACAAGCTGCAACACACTGAGATCATACTTTCCTGTCCATTCCAGGTGTTACCCATAGAAGATATTTATAACAACAGTGAGAACCAGCATTGTAGAGATGTTAAAGGTTAAGTGTCGGTTAAGTGAAACTTGTGAGGAAGCAGCTGGCTGTAGTTTGTCATGTCATGAGTGGAAACATCACTTCACACACACAGTTTGCATGTGACATTTCAAAGATGACATCAGCTACCTGATGAACATACTAATGTAAAAATATGGAGGAAAAGTTACATGGCACCAGTTTTCAAAAATTAAACTTACCAAACCAGAAAATATACTGCTGTAGAGACGCACTGCAGTCTCACACTCATTTATGATGAGACTTTTGGTAAGTCTCCCAAATGCCACGACAAACACACAGAGGACTTTTCTAATGAGATAAAAATGACTCATCAAATATAGCTTCAAAATATGACGGTAAAGATGTCCCTGTAATTAGACTTTTAAAATAAAGCTTGCGTGGTTAACGTGTTGCAGTTTGGTTAGGTTTAGCCACAAATACCACTTCCTTGTGTTTAGGAAAAGATTGTAAGTTACGTAATGTTACGTATCTGATGTAATTTAAAGGTCCAGTGTTTCACATTTAGGCAGATCACTTTGTAGTCCGCCATGTTTCTACAGTAGCCCAGAACAAACCAAACACTAACCCTAGACGGGACACTCACTTTTTCCATAAGGTTTTGCAGCCACAGTAGTTTCTCCTGCTCACTTCACAGCCCGTTCTCATTCTTATTAAATAGGCAGACGTGAGTGAGTAGGTGTTCAGTTAGTTGCAATCTGCAACTTCACCGCTAGATGCCACTAACCTACACACTGGTCCAATTTGTAAGTTAACTTATAAGATAAATAAAGACTACAGAAGACATTTGGTGATATTTGATTTGACGAACTGTAAAAGCAGAATATGGAAAATGAGGTCTTAGGTTGGACTCCTCTCCCTGATCTTACTCATTTTGTATAATTTGTCTGGTTTCCATGGTGATAAAGGTGACATCCTGGGTCCGTCCATCAGCGGCCTGGACTCTCTCATCCAGATGCCTTATGGTTGTGGTGAACAGAACATGATCAACTTCGCACCAAACATCTACGTCCTCCAGTATCTGAGTGCTACGGGGCAGGCTAACCAGGACACCACAGACACAGCCACAGCCTACATGATGAAGGGTAAAACAAGGATGTGGATTATGGCACATTAACATATTTCTAACTCAGAACCAGCTCTGAGGAGATCACTGGCACTACTTACCATCAACATTTGTGTTCAATTTTGAGTCAATGAGAGGGTCCTTTAGTGGGTTGTATTTTTTGGAAGTCCAAAGTACATCTGGCTGAAGCCC